TTTGTGCTTTAGAGAGGTTGGAGCTTGATTCTCGCAACAAGCGGGTGAATTGTTGGTTCGAAATTCGCACCAGCTTGTTCCCCAGTGTTTTGCCAATTCGATGCACTAGATAGGTACCCTCTTTCTAGGGGAGCTTTTTCGCAAAATCTTACTTTCAAAGAGATGTTTTGATTAGTTATGCAGACAAACTGAAACGAGGCCGTTCCGCGTCTTTTTTTAAATTGAGGGAGAAAAGTTGAAGTATAAACTTTGGCTGTTGCCAAGGTATCGTCTAGGTTTCATGAATACAATACCTCATTGATTTGAGAGCGTTTTTCCTCCTGTGTCTGTTGGGCCTGTGAAAGTGCTCTGGGGCTTGCTGTTAGCAACATTTTTTGGTCAAGCTACTGCTGTTGCATATTAAATTGGTGCATGAAACTTGTCCTTAATCACCTTTAGCAATAAGTCTTTTGCAGTGTTTGCCCCGGTGGATTGACCAATGAATAAACTCTCACCCTGACTTTCCAGATTTGACTTCTAATCTCACAGCAAAACAGCTTCTCGTCCAGTAACAAAAAAATGAACACGCTTTCTCATACGTCCCCACTTTTATTATTTACAGCACCAAAAATAGCACTGAGAAAAGAGAGTGCTGATAAAAATAGATTTCCGAAGTTCAAAAATGCTTTTTTTGCGAGCTGTCTGTTTCTCTTCGCTGTTCCCTTTCTCTTTCCACGGGGTCTTTCCCGGAGGCGTTTTCCAGCATGGTAATCCATAATGATTAGTTGTCCTCCTTCCGTTCCTTGGATTCAGAAATAATGCTGTTGTTTGAGAGGGACACTTATCGTTCGATCGTTAACGCATCGTTGCATCACTTTTTGAATTCTGCGTTTTCAATGAATGAATTATGCTGGTCAGCTGTGCGTGTAGCCTATTGGGCGCAGCAATTTAATTGTTATATGCTAGTCATATGTATAGATTAATTATTTCATAAAGATCCCCGAGCCAGCACAGTTCTCTTATCTTCGCCACAAGCCAAATTTTAAGGCCCAGCATACTAAGTATGAGAATGTGATAAAACTAAACCAGTTGCACTGAAGGCGATTATTGAAAGCTGTTTAGTTGCTGATCCAATTTACAGCTTGTGCACGAGCTTGCTGGGCTTTCTGTGATTCGGTATTCGGTTTTTTAGCTTTTCCTGCTAGCTTTCACACAGACGAGGGCCTTTTCTGGCGAGGGACATTCCGCATCCGCATTCTGCGTTTCTTTCAAGTTCCTCATTCTCTTCATTGCGTGAATAATTTGCGTGATCGGCATGCCGTGCATTTTTTTTTTTTGTCACCAGTAATAAGCTGCTGTCAGGAGGAGATGCTTTTTGAGGACACCAACTGAGTATTGTTTTTCTGCAGCGTGCCGGGCTGTTCACTGTGTGCAAAAATCACAGCCTTTCCATGACGTCTTTTTCTGTGAGAAACCTAGATACTCGGAATTAATCCGACTGGTAGTACACGCTAGCCATGACTACCTACGACGATCCCTGCCAGTGAAACTGCTTTTTTATACGGACGCAAACCGATGGTAGTTTTGATTCTTTTGCGTGTGCTGCTATTAGTTGTTCAAGATCGAAGCGAATGAGTGGATAAATCGTAGAAGAATAAGTCTTCCTAGTGTTGGCGTCGAACCCTTCTTGACCATTGTCCAGGAGAAACGCCGCTTTGTGCTGTTACACCAGTCAATCGGCGCGTTTGCAATGCAATGTTACGTGTGGTTCGTTGCGCATCGCGCACTGTCCTTTTTGGTTCCAAAATATCTCAAGGCTCATCCTACTGTGTACTAAACTTGCACACCAACGGGTCCATAAACAGGTTGTAACGTTGACGCCGTTTTGTGGTCAGTAGCAGTCCCCCTCCCCAAGTTGACCACTTGCGTCTACTTCTTTTATGCC